TGGACAAATGTTCGAAACTTAATCGGAATCATTAAAAAGTATAAGATACAATGTGTATGAATGAGCATAGTTAATATCAATGTATATATATGTTGGAAAGTATTGTACTGCAAATTAGGATATGTGTAATAGTGACAGGTAATCATCATCAAGATAACAAGGTTTATGCACGGCTAATAACACCAATAAGTGATCGGGTCATCGCTCAACATGATAAAATAAACAAATATGTGGAAATCAATAAGATAATGTAAGTGACGAATATCAGTAAATGAAAACCAAAAAAAGAAAAGGTTGAAGACAAGGCTGAAAAACTAGAAAATCAATAGAGGTTATCAGATAAACCTTAAATCATCATGACGGAAAGGATAGTCACACTTTCCTTCTGTAGATACAAGTCAAATCGGAAGCGTTTGATAACGATTACTTCAGCAAAACAGAATAAGATTGGTGTTTCTTGTCTGTTAATTATTTTGAATGCATTACTTACATTCACTTCATGTCCACCATTCAAATAGTATCTAGTAATTGGTGATGAAAAACCTTATTCCTTTTCAAACGTAGTTACCTGATTCGTGAAACACATTTTATAGTAAATTTAGATTGAAGAAATAAATACAACTCGAAGAAGTAAATATTCTCTTCAACAATATTCTTTACTAAATATATACTATGACATTTATAGTAATTTAATTGATAAACTAGCTGACGTCTAAAGTGTCGCAAGAGGTTTTGTAATGATTCAAAGGTTAGGAGGAAACAATAACATTAAAACACAAGCATAAGAGGTTAAGATCTAATTGACAATGTGGAAAAGAAATCCGAAAAAGTAGAGGCAATAATAACAAATAATAAGTTTTAAAAATTGGAAGAGTGTAAGTAACCAATTAACGAGTATGAAAAATTAGAAGTCTTACGATCTTCAACAGAATGACGTATAACGCATGCTGCCTCTGCAAAAAGAGTTTAAGCTTGAAATACTTAATTGTTAAGACCTATACAATGAACAAATTATTTATTTGTGTTTCCAATCAGCAAGGTCATTCGGCCGTGCAAATGATTTCGAAAGACGTTTCTGGTTTCTGGCTATGTGATGTGACCGTAATTGACAAGATGTTCCATTACCGAGATACTCATTGTTTCCCATCCTCTTTTTGAAATCCATATCACTAAAAGATAGGTTTACAAACATTTCGCTTTGTTTCAGGCATAACATCTGCTTAACAAAAGAAAGTAAACCTAAAGAAACACAGTAATGTGGAAATTACGTCTACCACATCTATGGATCACAGGTCCTCTAGAGAAGATAATATGAAACTTAGTGGGACAAAACACTCTGCTTATTGGTTTCGAGAGTCAACCGAAGATTTCCACTGCGTCATCTTTCAATCTGACATTCATGGAAATTTCTTCAAATCCGCTGGTGATCTTTCGAGTTTTTATCGATGAGACCAAAAGTATAACTAATTACCGAAATTAAGACTTTTTAGTACGTTGTGTCATCAATACACTCAAGGATGGAGTGAATGAAGTCTCTATTTGAGACGATGAAACCTAAAGTCTCTACAGTGAACATTCCGATTTGTCCTCCTTCTTAGTCAGACTGTTTAGATAATTTCGAAAGACAGTTGTGGAGTAGTAATGGGACTGAAACCAACTAGATGTTCTAGTATTGAGTCATTATTTGTCTTATATTCTTATTTTGAAAGTAATGCAGTAGAGTATTGTTTACTATTCTGTTTCATCACATAGATTAGAATTATGCATCGAAATGAATCATCATTAACTCCTTACATATTATCTAAGAAAGTTCACATCGCTTAATAAATGACTATTACTCTAAAATATGTTAAAAACTTTTGTTTACCATCGAGAAAAACAAACAATCCGTTTATAAGCAGCAATTTTTGAGAAAATCTTCATTATTCTTGCCAGTAAAACTATTTGATGTGATTATTAAATTATTTTAATATACACATAATTTCTTTTAGATAGATAAACAAACTAAATTTGCAAAACATGATGATAAATTTTCCTGTGGTCAAGATAGTATTTTGATAACCATGATTTCATACACTTGAAAACTAAGATGAGTTTATTGAACAGTCCAATGAACTCTTTAGTTTGAAACTAACATATTCATTTAATCCTTCAATATAATCTCACATATATTAAGATGAGAGTGAATATAAACATTTTACTGATGAGTACATATGATCACAAACACTTGTCTCAATATACAAAGAAAATATGAGTCTTGATTATTTTGAAATTAGTAGATGTACGGCTACTTACCGCTCCTAAAATCCCCCCTTATCAATGCCCTGACAAACTTAAATTCTTTCAATATTCTCAGAACGTTGGTTTACAAGGAATTATTCACACGTGAATATATTTACGTGAAATGTTGATGTATCATCAATCTAACTAACTATTATCTTCACATGACTGTCCACTACTTTGCTAACTTCTTTATATATATTATATCAATTATAAGTAGTATACGTATTTTTGAAACATTTCCTCGGAGCCTCAAGTATATTTTATTGATAGCAGAATGAAATCGCTTCACTACTCTTTTCTTCCTAACTTCTTATAAATAATATAATACCAGATACATGCCGTCTCAATTTTAAGCAAAAATGACAAGTATACTTAAAATGATTCAAGTATTTACAAAACATTTAGAAATAAGTTATTTAAAAAAAGGTTAAGATATGTTTGATAGTGAATGTATTCTGGGAACGAAGCATAAAAATGGAGAGTAACTACTGACTATCAAATCAAAAACTAGGCCGAGAAAGCAATGAACAAGTACAATCAAACCAACAAGAAACAAAAACCAGTTTCTATACATCAGCGCTCTCAAAAGAAGTGTTCATGTAGTGTTCCGATAATGTAACTTTCCGTTCCAAAAAAGTGCGTATGTGGATTTGTAGTCTGGAGACCTGAATTGATAGACATTTATTTTAGAAACGAGAAACAGATATACAACCCCATTACTAAATAATTTTAGTTGGGTTATTCAACACTTCTACAGCCTACGCAATCGGCGTGACCATGTAAAGAATGAACCGTTCATCAGGCACCTGGTGAAAAACGTACTCTAATTTCCAGGACTTACATCAGATCATTGAAACTATTTGATAGAAAGGCTTAGAACTTTAACTGAGGAGCTCCTGTTCAAGTATTTAAACAATAAAAGTAGCCCGAAGAACTAATAAGAACGTACTGTATTTGAGATATGTTGGACGATAAAGAACGAATATACCTACTCCATTGAGATTGGCGTTTAGACATAACACCAAAGACTTATGGAAATGGACTCCTAAAAAATTTCGAAACAAGACAATACGTATTTAGCATTAAAATTAGTCTCGCTTTATTACTATCATTCGTTTGGGTAGAGGGAGATCAAGTATATGTGATAAAGTCTACAGGTATGAAAGCGTACGAGTTAAATAACTTGTTAACCCTCATGAGCGAAACTATAGCTTTACTTAGGAGTTAACGACTTAAGCGTTTAAAAAAACATCAATGTACGAGAACTACCATAAGATTATGATAGTTTTTTTAGTATTTCAGTTATAGGGTTAATACGTGTAAAGTTAAACGAATTGAACTGCTTTGCTATATACTAGCCATCAATTTGGTACTCGGAAACAGTGTTAACACCATATTTAGCAAAAGACATCGATACTAATCTTTCTTAATTCACCATGATGAAATAGACCAAAAGAGATTGTGGACAACATTTTAGGATACGACTTGAGGTTGCAAAAACAGATGACAGTTCTCCATTAGCTCTGACTCAGATGGGATTATGTTCAACTCCAAGATTCTAGCTAAAATATTAGTTAGCCTAATCGCTAAAATTGGACCACCATCCTTAAAGACCTATGGAGCCAATCCATCTGGACCAGCTATCCTTCCTCGTTTCAGATTAGCTATAGCCTTTTGAACTTCAATTAGAGTCGAGGGGTCTATTTCAACGTTCCATTCAGGATGTTTGGAAATTGTGAGTAGCTGAACTGCTCCTTAAAGTGTTCCACCCATCATTCTAAACGTCTGGGCTGATAGCAGATAAGAGTGTCGTCTTTTTCCGAGATCGTCTCACACTTGACTTATTAATTTCAGTTTCTTTTATGAGTCTGAAAAGCTGTCTTGTATTACCTGCAAACGCTGTCTTTTTCATCTCTTTTGCTTTCGTTGCCCACCAATGTTCGCGAACGTTCCTTAGACTTTCCGTTAACCTAGATCTGATTTGTCTTCGTTCTTCATCGTGTTCAGAGCCTGATGGGATGAGTTTACAAGAATCTATCAGTGCAATAGACTTGGTAGAAATCCACTGGTTTTTCGTAACCCTTTGGTTTAAATCACAATAGATGTTACTGCTGTTTCCACAGCTGTTCATACATCTTTCTAAACAACATCTGGGTCAGCCACGTTTTCAAAATTGCTTAAGTGTGACTACAGTTGTCCCTGGAATTTACCTTTGACCTTCTCGTCGCCGAGTTCAACACTAATGGATCTTCTTAATGTGGCTTTCCTGCGTTCAGTGAGGCTCAGCAACGTAATCGGCCTACTTGACTAGTATTTACATAACTGGCTGTTTTTAAACAAAGATGATGGATCTCGTCAACATCGATACAAATTTAGTACCATCCTGAGTTTCAAATGGGTTTAAACACGCCCCTTAATAAAGATAAAAAATGTGATTGCGGTTTCTCATTCACAGGTAAATATCCTATTAATCATCTGGCGACCGAAAACATTACTAAATGTTTAGAACCTTAAAATCCGAAAATCACAAACTACATTATGAATACAGGCAACTATACCCATTAAGCGAAAGCTTTGAAGTGATATTATCACTGATTAAACATTATTCAACACTCAAAATGTCTCGGCACGTGTAGTGTGATAAATGCAACAAAGATAAAAGGGTATCCAACGTAAGAAGTGTATTACAAGTTATATAACACTATACATGTTTGATGTTAAATTGTTTTACCAGGATCGGCTTTTAGAGCAACAGTTCGATTGAAAACCATCTAAAACAAAATAGAAACATAGGGAAGCAATAATGATGTGGCGCACAAAGATGATTACTGTGAAAGTAAAACCGTCTTATTTTTTCAGAACAAACAAAAGCCAATTCTTTCTTCATAGATCAGTACTTTACAATGGTACTCATTTGACGATAATACAAGTGAGCAAATGTTAGACCATGAGTTACAAATTTTATGAAAGTAGACGTTACTATCTAAATTTTTAAACTCAAATACAGGGAACCATTTAGATTAGTAATCATTTGTGAATTATAGTTTACTAGATAGATGTAATTCAGGTGTACACTCAAGTTTACTCTAAATAATGAGTTGAAAACAAGGTGTTAAGAATTCAAAGATGTAAAACAAAATCACTATATGTTGTAGTCTTTTTAAGGTTTACCTGAGATTCTTCTTATAGTAAACAGTACAAATACTACCTGCCAGAGAATAAAGGACTTACACGTTCTGAGTTAGTATCAGGATCCACAGAGAAGAAACCAATACGTTCAAATTGATAGGCAGTGTAAACCTCAGCATTTTTGACAGACTGTTCAATCAAAGCACCCGGAATTATGACTAATGAATTCTGAATAATGTGAAAGTTAGTTGCGTATAGTCCACGTAATCGAAAATGGGTTATACAAATAAATACAATTTGAAGTTTATTAAGAGACAAAAGTGACCTGGAAAAAAACTAATGTGCTTGCGCAACACTTCGAAAAACCTCATGACGGTATTTTATACGAAAGCTGAAAATTATTTAGTTTTTACAAAAAGATAACTGTGGAAATGCATCGAATTTTCCAGATCGACTCTATCTTCTCAATACACTATCGATACTGAACTATTAACAATAAGTGATAGTTTCTCGTTGAATTTTATTAGACATTTATGTGGAGCAGAACCATTGAGGTTTATCGACCTCGATAATCAGTGCATAATTATTCAAAATGTTTGATCCAAAAAACACCAATACCGCGAAAATATTTAGTTGCAATTCAAGGCAAAAAATCATAAATTTAATGAATAGTTTAAAAACAACTGGTAATGAATAAAACAAACTTAATGGTAGCACGTAAATGAAAACTGAAAATCCATTTATTAGACGGAATATTATAATCTTATGATGAAAAGCAAGTGCGAAAGTACATAACACAATGGTTGCCAAGATAGTTTAATGGGTTAATGTCGATAAAAAATCAGAAGTCTTCAGAAATTAACCTGAAATTTACAAAAAGCTAGTAATCACAATACCTTATATATGACTCTAAGAAGCATGGCTTTAATATGCTTAAAAAACTACAATAAAGTGAGTGATTTACATATCATTTCTAGAACAGTGAATTAACTTCCTCCTTTAATAAGTTTAGGTAAATATGTAGTATTTAGAAACGAAAGCTTCAACCCCTTTTCTTCAACAGTTGGGACAGATCTCTTTCTGCTGGAAATTGTGTCCACCCTAGAGAAGCATAAACATTGCAGTTATTGCATACATATATATACAAGAAAAGGAAAACATAGAATCGTTGTGGAATGAAACTATAGTTTATACACCTCAAACTATTATTATTTATGGCTAAGAAGTTAGAGAAAAGACATCCAAACGAAACACTGTGATTTAATTGCAGTTTAGCCAAATTAATTTATACTGATTTTCTTAATGCTCATTGGTAAGTATAAATAAATATTACTGCAAAATAAAACAAAACACAATACAAGTCTTACAAAACGTTGATCTGAGGAAACGCTTAAGTATCAACTGTAATTAGCTGAAAAAATTCACTGGGATCGATTCCAATACGTGAGTGTCTATTAAATTTGAGTAAATCAGGAAATACTGCAATATACCAGGACTAAGAGTATCTATCCAAAAGTGATGAAAAAGGATGTCTCAAAAAGGTCTCAAAGATATCGTTCAGTAATGTGAACAGACTGGTATTGTATGATTTTCTTACTTGTATGGTGTCGATGAAAACATACAAAATCTATTGCATTGAGCATATACTTAGTGATTAAGTGCTACCAGTGAGTTTTAGGAACAATCTTATCATTAAATGGAGAGATGCTTGTACAATTTTTAGACTAAACTGATTATCAATTGCTATCACATAACTGATTTAATATTTCTCTTGAACTTGTATAACGGCCTAACTAACCTGTCTGCACAAAAACAAGAAAAACATAGTAAAAAATGATACAAATGTATTCGGACATACTTTATTAATCACAGACAAGAATCCATTCTTTTCGCTTTCTGGCTCCTTGACGGTGAACCTAAAAACACCAGATAACAAATCTTACTGACCCCGTGAATGACTAATTTTGAGATATTATATATAAGCTATAAACCTAAACTTACAATCGGTCATACAGTCGAGCTTCAAACTGCAAAGGATTGGACACCCAATGTATAAAAGCTTTTGGCTTAGTAGTATCCTCTACCTTCTGGGCTTTCACAAATAAATGAGATATTTTTCCATCGGAATCCTATGTGAAGCGCAATTCAGAGATAAATGGGAATAATTCAACAATGTAACATTAATAACTATAAAAAATTAAGCAAAAACTAAAACTTACAGAAGTCTTGTGTACCACATCCAATGAATGAAAAACTGGAAAAATATAACGTTTGTTATGGGGCTACGGATTGATTATACAAGATTATTGAGTTAAAATACTGTTTGCGATGCAAAACTAAAACGAAACGTTTTTTGGATAACTCATACATATGACTTTCAGAATTACTTTTATTCATCAGTCAGTCAGTCAGCTACAACGTAGGACCAGGCACATATGTGCATCGGTCCAGGTTGCCATACCTATTCGTCCTAGTATGGGACTCCTCAGCAGTGCGCATCCACGACCCCGCACCACCCGTGGCTCGAACCATGGACCTACTGGCTTCGCGCGCGAGCACTTATTTTGATACATTTTTACAAAAAATTCCGAATGTAAGTTAATTTCTTGTGCCGCTAAGGAGCGTAGCAACTTGATATCACGATTCTATCGCAGTAATTGAATAAAACCGTGTGATTTTTTCTTGGAAAACATGTACTTAAAAATGTTGTCTAAAATTTTGTATTAATATATGTATATGCACATCAAAGTAATTATCAAAAAACAAATGTTTTATGAAATTTAGATGTAACCAAAACCAAAAATTGCATAGGAGAATCTAAAACAGTATAATTTACTTTTTTTAAATCGGAAAATTCTAAAACAAGGCCCGTGTAACGAAGACCAACTGGTTGATTAGGTGTTAAACGACGATATCCTTTCTCAGCAACTTCTTGAAAGTCTGTATTTTCTATGTACAGCTCCTGTTGCAACAGGACACTATGAGTCTTACTGTCTGGAATAGCAGGAAAATCCGCAACTGTAAGCTAAAAACAAAAAGTAAAGTATACTGAGTTTGCTGTCAACCTAAACAGTGAATGTAAAGAATTTCGAAAATAAAAATCATTTTACCTCGACAGAAGACTTATCGCCATACAGTTCATGCCAATTCGTAATAGTTACTATTATTGGCTCTAAAACAGCCATCACACGTGGTGCATGATCATTCAGATAGTCCCGTACACAAGCATCTAAAGCAGAAGGATCAAGGATTGTTTGAGCCATAGTAACGCCAATACGTTCACAAAACATATTAATAGCTTGAGGTGGAAATCCACGACGACGGAGTGCTGTCAAAGTTACTAACCGTGGATCATCCCAGTCATTAACAATACCGGCTTCTATCAGCTTTAAAATTTTGCGCTTAGACACCACACTATAATACAAATTGAGGCGACCATATTCCCACTGAACTGGACAATAAAGATTTAGTGAATTACAAAGCCAATAATACGCGGGACGTCTAAAGCAATGAATTCAAGATACATTATTACCAGTTATACAATTCTAAACTTATATATATATATATATATATATATATATATATATATATATAGTGAGAACTGAAATATAAAATACTGTTTAAAAAAATAAATCGGCATAAGTCCCTAAATAACAGACTGAATTCCTGTCGATATCTGAAGTGCCTAGTTTATTGGCTACTTTAGTAACCTTTAAGTATTGTCCCCAGCCCATCGACTATAGGCTACGAAATTTCTGATCAAGTTTTAGTCTACTAAAAAGGGGAAATTGTACGACTACAAGTGTCCAAATAATTGTTCACTATTTCTAATATCTGAAAACTGCAAATAAATAAATATATTTTTGAGAACACTTACTCGGTTTCATTGTATTGTTTTTCCTTATTAGTTGACTAGCATACCATCCGTCACTTTTAATCGAATCGCTCTCAGAATAATCACAACCAGTAATTTATTCCATTTTGTAGTCTTTAAATTCTTCACTTAAGCACTAGTTTGTATCAGTAAAGTATCTTGTGAATGGCATTTTGTGTGCATCATGCACAAAATCTCTTAGTTAACTAATGAATAAAAATTATTTTCCACATTCGCACTCGCTTGAAAATCCTTAGTTAGAGAGACACATCCTTTAGACAACTTCAAGAAATTACATCAAGAATTTTCTAATATTCGCTTAAACAAAGTAGATTTAGGAACCTTACCTAAAGGCTTTAAATTTCATGTCCTAAACAATAAGTAAAGCCAAATTGATTAAAGAAAAAAGTTTAAAAATTAACATAATCAGCTTTATCAATTAATGCCTATACCGAGAGATACGAAAAATTGGTTCAAATTCAGAGTTATGACCCTACCGACAAAATGTTCTACCACACCAGGAGTCCCTATATATCTGTTACCAAAAGGGTATAGGAACACTGTAAATAAGCTGATGAAAATGATAGCTGCTTTCCATTAGATTCAATGAACGAACAGCTCCTTTCAGACCTCGGTTTTGGAACAATAAACCAGGATATCTCTGAACGTACAAATTACCAGATCATGAGAAACATCTCGCTACGGATAAGCTGAGTAAAGATATGACACCAAACTGGGAAAATTAGTCACCTAAACAAACTACTGAAGAAAAGAGAAATAGGTGAGTCAACTTGTGAGATTTTCAAACCAACAGGCACCTACCTTACAAGGTTGTAGGATCTACCTACGACTTGTATGACTGATAACAATCCATGGGTCATCTTAGGAATGAATAATGGACAACCAAATAAGCTTAATGGCTTGATCGACTGACTAATCCCAAAAGAAGAGAACTGGCTACATACACGACAGTCCTGATTTCGTCAACATAACACAAGGCGTTAAATGAATCATAAAGTAGATGGTTTCTTCTCAGGGTCGGCAGAATTACAAATCCACAAGAGTACGAAACACAAAATAGAGTGAATTTCTTGGACTCGATTAGGTTCTATTTACAGCGAAAGTTCTTAAACGGGTCAACATTTTCATTTCAGCGGCTTCTAATCAGTTACAAATAAAACGTCTTTATAGAGTTATTCTCAAGAAATACCACACTGTCGTGAAGATTTATTTGAAAAGTGGAAAGCATTCGAAGAACTTAAATTGACAATGGCCATTCCATAAAGTTTGTTAACGAACACTGAGCCAATAATTGGAATTTCACAACTAACCGCCACTACTAATAAAAACGTATATGTTAAACTTTTATTCAAAGGGGATGATTCTAGCCCGCAAAGTAGCCATCGATCAAAAATCGATATTACACCAACCTTTTCTGCCACCAATTTAATTATCACATATGGAACAAAAGGCATAGTTATAGAGTCTTGGACTAGGGATCTTTATTTACCTTCATTTGTAGTTGTTTATCAGTATTTACAATAACATGTTAGAAGAGCGGAGAGGATCTTATTCACAAGAATCGCTCTGAATACATACCACTAAATTTGTCTGTCAATGGGTTCGAATTCACTACAATGACATGAGATGACATATCATATTTCCTTTATCCAATTATGTTTAACTTTTTCAAACTGTTTAACCTATAGACTTCATAAACACTCTTCATCACACCCACTATTCTTCATTTAATTACAACAATATTATCGTTCATTCTAATCAAATCACTTCTAAGTTACAGCTGTCACGGCTAGCTAACACTGAAAAAGTTTGATCTTCTGTTCATTTAGTTATTCAAGCGATCTAATGCTATTAGGCTAACCTTTTGACTAAGTTCACTTCAGTGATCATTTTGTAAGTGTGTGAATGAAAAAAAATTAAAGTAACAGGTGAAAACAAAGATCAAAACATTTACAGTAGAGAAATACTCAAAATCTGGTAGTAAACACATAATAGATGTAACGCACTCTACCTTCAGTTGCACCACTCACTGCTCAGTCAATTTCAATGACAGTATGGATACAATCGAGAAATCCATAGTTCTGTTAACGAATTGAACCAACGATTAGTTAATGCAGATAATCTGACATGGTTTGATGAATACTTTTTCTATCACGCTTTTTAAGTAAAATAAACTCTTCATATGGGTGGTGATTTTGTATGGGTAACATACCTTAAATGATGCATTTTAAAAACCTTACTGTTTTATGTCTATTAAAAAAACTAATCTTAATTCACTACCGTATATTTTAAGCTCTACCATTATACAACTAAATACTTTTGCAATAGGGAATGACAAAAATCGTACCTAGATAAAAATCTTAGTATTGTACATGTATCACTTTATTTGCTGCTACTTACCGTGACTGAAATTCCTTAGTGCATAATGAATGTGTGATATTCTCAATGGAATCACACAAGCAATGAGTATAGTCATAAGTAGGGTAAATGCACCTAAATTAAATTGTAACATAGAGTACAGAAAAGTAAATAACCTACCACTCAGTACCAGTACGATGATGGGGAGTCATCTTGATGCGATAAGCTACTGGATCCACTTTCCCATCGCCCAATGTCACTTTCATACGTAAAGTAGCCATACCTTCGTCAATCTAAATAGCAGTAAGGAATTACGAAAGCATACAACGTAATATAATGTTACAGGATATACCCTCCAGTTCATTTATAAAAATCGCCTAGTTAAAAACAGAAATAACACGTAATAGTGTCGAAAATTCAGATATAGCTTCGAAATGTTGATTTGTAGGTGAAAAACGAACAAACTACGGACAAGTGACGAATTTATATTGTTTTCTAATAGTTGTATAAGTGATATGTAGTATATGAAAATTAAATCAGTGTATGCTTACATTTACATGAAGATAAGTTCTCAGGTACACAAGTCAGCAAGGTTGTCTAATATTTAGAGCGAATTGTTTATGACCGTTGGGTTAAAATCTCACATTTTGGCATTACATTGACTAGAAACAAGGACTATACATTAGCGTAAGCTTTCATAGACTTAGTTATACCCTCCGAGTATCAAAACTGAATAGCATATGGTTAAAACTCGGGTAATCCTAGGTTCGACGTGGTATTATTTGTATGGATATTACACTACCGTAAAAACATTCTCTGCTAATCTCATTGAGAGTCCGATAATATGTTTCGAAACATTAGAAATACAATACTCTACTCATTGAGATATCATAAAAAATACTTGTTATAAATCTGGAGTTTTTGATGCAAGAGATTCAGACTATCAGGTACACCCAGTACATCTAAATGTGTTCTAAGGCGCTGACTAAAAAAGGGTCTAGGACGCACTGTGAGGAATACGTACTGCACTTTGCGTTGCGAGTACTGGTTTAATTTTAAATTTAACGTGAATACTGTCTTCGCAGTTCGAAGTTTTGGTAATACGAATTACAAGAATCTTCACACTGCCTTCAAAATAATATAATCAGGATATCAAGGTGCTTTTTCAACCAGCAAAATTCATTTCTAAGGTTATGTAAAAGATATGTGGCAATAAATTTTCCAAATATCTGTAACCGATATGGAATATGCATACCTTGCCGTTTTTCATATCCTCAAACAGTCGCAAGGATTCCTCAATCGGTCTGTCTCTCCAGGGCGAAGTTGGTGGATTAAAACCTCGTATTTCTTCTACGGCCTGATGACAAACATAAGCTAACTTTAATTTGATTAACTTAATTGCCCATTCGTATAACTGTTGGAAATTATCCGAGGCATAAGTAATCTTGTATGGAGTAAAGCCTGACAACTATTAATTTATTAAAGACTTACCCAGCCATCGAACCATGTCCTCAATAGCTTCGAAAAATTCTGCTTCTTCCTTTTCAGGGTTTGTATCATCATATCGCAAGTAGGTTATGCCACCATGTTTCTAAAAATAATAGATCGCAGTGGTATCAACTAACCTTTGCATAACCAAAATTAAAATTGATCGCTTTTGCGTGACCGATGTGTAAAATACCGTTTGGTTCAGGAGGAAACCTGGTAACTACTATGCCACCGGTTTGCTTCATGTGTTCTTTCAATAACCTCATAGTATCTTTTGTCACAATGTAACCGGGAGAATTATAATTTTCGCCTGGCTTGTGAAATTTAGCAGCTTCTCCCACTATATCACTGTCACCATTCACTAACATGATAACAGTGCTGATATGATAGAGGAATAAGCAAAGCAACGATCAATTCAACGCTTTAGTGGTAACGTCTACTGGTGGAGGTCACTGAGCACTTGAAGGTCAAACGTCGTAAAACGATTGGTGCGTCACCTCGACAATTCGTAAGGTTTTACAGAAGCGGTCACATCAAGAGAATTGATTTAAGTTCAGCCACATTATGTCTGATAACTCCCATCCTTCAAGTAACGAAAGTGATGCCACTGCAATGATGCATGACATATGAGTAATCTTCAATGATATTATGTTATCGCGACAATGTTGAGACCTTTCTAGAAGTACATAGTTGTTTTTACAATAACTCTAGAGTATTTTTTCGTCAGATATGCTTGTATACTTATGGATGTAAAAGCAGTGTACCGGAATCCGAAGTTTGATAGTGGTGATCAACATTCTCCCGGAGAGCATGCACCTTCTTACTCACCGCCGCAACCTAGACGAAGAACACGACGTCGGTCATCTACGTATGCTTAATTTCAAATGAATGTATCCTTCAAGTCGAAATATTGCCACTGCTAATCTGGATTTTTGGTCCATGTAAAAAATTGTGAGCTAAGCATCACCTCTATTAAAACCGTACACAACTATACTTGTGCATTTCTGTAGGTCCGTCGAGACTGAATTTGTCGGTGAGTGGGCGATTATATTTAAGACCGTTCCTGTTGAGTAATACGTCGACGCGAGGCATTTGACATCTGACTTCTTAGAAGTTCCATAAACAGTTTACCAAGAACAATATCACCAAGATCCGGTGACGGTTTCAACCAGGTTGCTAAACTCACATGCTAATTAAATTAATCTAGACACTAAAGATATCGACGGGATTTTACAGCGCGTCCAGCCAAACAGTAAAGTAAAAGTTTTCTGTGAACATATCTACGATCTGCCTCATTCGCAGGGAGCAAATAACTATCTACCACGTGTTTTCAGAGGTGGTACTTATTGAATGACTTACCAGCCCAACTAACGAGAACAAATTTGTCTTGACGTTTTCCACTTTTATAGCAGGTGACAACTGATGGTCTTGGGCTGAGGAACACTGTTAGGTACGTTCTTTGCGGACAAGCACAACGCGCAGACATCGTAGGACTGCTCGAATGCTTCAGACATATAATGTGCGGTACTTATGATACACGCACTTTCTTTATGGATTCATCAGCGACCGAAAGTCCCGCGGTACAGTCTACGCAGTCATGCCGACATTATACTGTGTTGTTTCATGTCTTAGGAGCACTGTTCTGGGAAGTATATGTTAACTGTCGAAATCGTCTGTTGTAGTTCAGAAATGCCGATGTTCGCAAATGCTTGGAACATCGCGTAAAAACCAGGCGACCTAACATGTGAGCTTCGCTTTTTACAACTCATTATATTCGGATTCATTTAGAAGTATGAATACCTGGGGACCTAATTTTCACAGGCCTATAATTACATCGGGGATCACTAGATTGCTCAGAAGTCAATGTGGTTTCGTTGTTACCAGCGACATGTACCAAGCTCGGGATAACCAAACAAACAATCGTGTAGAAAGTGATCAAAAACACCTTGAAAATGTCTCAGAAGAGGTGATAAACATTCCATCGACAGTCAGAAAATTCTGGCTTATCTCAGACACTCACCCACGTTTCAGTCCAGATGACGCTATAAAGGATCTCCAACGTTTTCCAAAGCTTGAGGTAAGAAATGTAGTCAAATGTATCATCAATTTCGAGCTTCAATTTCACTCCAGACTCTTTTAAGCGAGCTTTTGCAGTCATATCTATGGCTAAAAATTACAAACTAGTTGGTAGTATGAGACAAAATGGTAGTGCGAGAATACATCCGCTGCAACGACAAGGTTATAATATCTGTTGTTGACACAACACGTTCACAATGTGACCATCAGTGCCTCAATGATAACATGTTTCTGTGTGGTCATACATTGTATGCACATGCCAAAGATCTATTCCATGAAGGAAAGTATGCTTCTTTGTCTCCATAAACATCGTATGTTTATTTCGACATGGCAGCCGGTGAACAAAGAACAACATGATGGAATTGGTTCTCAGTGCGTTGATGAGCACGTCAAGCTGTACAGGGAGTGAAGATCTGCTTGAGAAGCTGACTAATAACTACTACTCTACCCACACTCTTAGTCAGCCTCTGTCCACTTGTAGTGGCATTGAACACTAACCACAATCCTCAAATCTGGACATGAGATAACTGTGAAAATAGACTTTTAACATGGAACACTATGAGAAGGTCAATGATGATGGACGCGAGAATATTCATTCAGTTAATTCAGCATGGTTTGGCCTTGCATACGTGGTCATTCTTGAGTGTTGTCGGTGACTGTTACGATGCGATGAGCTGGCGAACACGATGATGTGACTTCCACGTAAGGTTGTAGTGGCATTGACAATAACCGCACAATCCACAAAGCTGAACACGAGACTACTCAGGAAATAGATATTCAATATTTAACGCGGATAAATACCTAACAATGGAGAAGGCGCGAAGAATGAATTGAATGGACTGAGTTGATCGAGTGGCATGGCTCAGCCATGCAGGCGTGGTCCCTGCTGGATGTTATCTTATATCTCCTATTCATATTAAATATATTGTTCTTTCTCTAGCTTAACCTTGTTCTACATCATGTATTGGTAATTGATACGATACAGTGAGTTGGTGTAGTCGATGGTGTGACTTCCACGTAAGATCTTATAGATTAGGCAGTTATATCATGACAAATCTACAATTTTAGGATTAGGTCTATTATTGGAGCAGTACTAATATCATAGTAGACCATAATTCTACAAGGTCTTATAGATTAGGAAGTTAAACCATGTCAAGTCTACAATTTTAGGGCTCACTCTATTAATATAGCAGTACTAACAACGAAGTAGACCATAATTCTATGTCTGTCTATTTTGAGACAATCTAACACCTCGGCAAAACTATCAGAATAGAGTTTCAGCACTTAGGCATCACTCATATTGATGCATTAGGTTCCTCTTCTATTTAGAGATCTGTAGACAAAAATGCATGCTTTTTCTTACGGTTTCTCCCCAGGATATTATATAACTTAAACCAGAACCACTAAGAGCTGTTTTCAACTCCTAGCCAAAGCCTTACCTGGAGAAACGTCTGCGTAAAGTTCCCTTACCTTGAGAATGATACCGCTCTCCTGGAACGAGTTCAAATTAAAGCATATTTAAGTATGTTAAAACCCCACTCAGTAAGCCTAAAAATCCCTGCAACTCGTGCCAAAGCGTTAAGACGGATATAATCTCGATGTACTGTAACACCTATAATCCACTTCATCAAGACAGATCGCTCATAACATCTAATACTAAACTACCCTGAGGAGGGTATTCATATGGGATGATGCACTAACGATCTAGCCCGAAAATCCAAGCGAAAATTTTTCGTGTTCAAAGCCGGCAAGCTATCAGAAACCCCACGAGAAGTAGTACTGACAGCACCCCGTGGAAAAACTCTAACAATAGCCTGATGTGGATGTCTGCTCTGTTATTTTATAATCACCTTCCATAGTCAAGAATATTCTCCAACCACTCAGGAGAAAATCCTCAGGAAAAACAAGATAAGCTTGAATTTATGACGTCGAAAAGTGTTTTCAGTATTTTCTCTTCACGAACAGTCATTTGATTCCACTAAGCACAGTTCTAGGTGTAAGTAATCAACTATTCAACCCTACTGCTTGAAGGATTGATGTTCGAACCTTCTGATGAATCAATAAAGAAAACATTATAAATCTATCAAGGATTTGTACGAATTGAGTAAAATAAGCTGTTAGTGTTTAGATTTCATTATATAAATTTGATCTGTACAACAATATTGTACCTTGGTTGTCCTTCACAAATATAGAGGGAGTTTGTAATCGCTCTCTAGTTCAGATTGTCTTGATCACATCCTTGTGGTACTTTTGTCTTCAGTTATTTAGATCAATGAATATAGGTGCGTACTACGTGCTTAATGAGTCATCGACTCACTTTTTGTCCTTATTCTCCTCTACAGATTTTTTCATGTCTGTGTGCTAGGGATCACTATCCCTCAACGTAGCACAAAGCTATAGCCTTTTTGTATAGATACGAAGAATTACCAAAAGTTGAAAGTTAAACTTTAATGTCTGGTAGATAGAAATTGTCGAGTACACTTTAATGTCTTCCTCAAGATCCAATACTATCGCAAAATTTCAAATAAATCTAACAGTTTTGAGAGACGTTCTGGCCAATGAAAATGCAAAATTTGGGGAATCATTCGTCCCATAAAAAAATAAAAACTCAAGTGATGAAGTATTTTGACATGGATAAGCTGGATTTCCACTGGGAAATGAGATGCAAAAATTAAATTTCAGACGACCTACTATCTCTACAACAGGAGACTGAATAGTGGATTATTTCATATAGTCTACGAGAAAGGGTCGGGGTAAAAATTCTAGTCAATATTAGAGGTTAAGATTTGGAATTGTGGTTATTATTTCCATCAAGAAACAGGCATTGATGATCTGACGTTTAAATTTACCAAACCCGTCTACTAAGAATTTTTGGCTTGTAGCCATAGTGTTGAGTGAATTTTGTAGAAATATCCACGATGCAATGTTGAAAATTTGTCTCGCTCTTAAAATATTGTGCCACTTCAAAGGCATTCAGTCTACTTTGAAAAATTCCAAATTCCTATCGACCAACATATCTTTTATTTGTTTTTCGTTGAAAAGCTAATAAATTTCTCGTCATTCTGATAACCGCGCATATTTGTTTCTCTCCTCTTGTCTTGTCCTGCCTGTAAATTTTCTGCGTCTAGAAAAACTCAACTAATTCTGCTGAGTATTAACTCTGATCATGAAATATTGCCAGCTACCAGCTGTTGTTTTTGAAATTCGATGATTGTACTGATCCTCCTCATTAGATTTCTAGGCTCGTATAAGCAACGTAACTTCGTGACAATACCAAACGCTTTGGTAGATGTATTAAAGATAAACACTTTCCATCGTGCATGGACTTCGTTTTATCTTCTCGTAACAAGTGATTTTCTACTCATTTTAGACCAATTTGAAAGTCCTGTTTACAAGTTGTTGGTTTCCAACCCGTTTATAATGGGATTTTTCACAGCATGCTGTGTAAAATCTCCAGAGTTACTCTTGATTCTTAACGGTCCGGTAGATCCTCTTTGGAATCAGATTTATTGCTTGGGCTAAGTGCTTTATCTTTCTAATCTACCAGTATGGTCGACTGAGTGACATTTAAAATAAAGTTTTCAAAGAGCAGCTACGTCACATACAATAAGATTCCTGCCTGTATTTAGTCAGAATTCCATTTTCGTAAGAGAAAGTTTGTTGACGTCGCACTCGGCGTCACAGTACATCATAAAATATTTGCTAACCTGTCGTTCTCAACAGACTGCGGCAATTTATTCAATCCGGCGTCAAGTGCTACTGTTCTCGCAGTTCGAAAAAAGCCACTTGTTGCAGTTTGTTTTTACCAATGTCGTATTTGATATACGTCCTTGAGACTGTACATGTTAGGCCTTTGCAAATTGTCTGTACTACTCAACTTGTTTTGTAAGGTGATCGTTAATACAGAAAGCTTTTAGTTTTGCTTAAAACTCGGAATTATGTCTCCCGTAATATTTAAGTCAAACGAAATCTTTATATTGTATTTTATCCCCTTCGATGATATTCACGTACTATGTAAAGCTACTCAAAGTCAACCAGATGGGTGCCAGCGCTATTCGACCCCTAAAGCCCAAGAAAAAAATTAATGTCGCAGCGTACTATCTATTATTTTCCAGTTACTGTTATCGTCTTATGAAGTTTTTGTTTTCCTGATTGGTATCGGACTTTCAGCCCACAAAACGTTTTATACAAACACGTAAGTTTATACAGTACAGAGACTAATCCCGTTTAATTTCTCTTTGCTGCTTGTAAGAAATTTTTTTCGATTGCCGAACAGTACTTTTGCACTTTTAGGTAGTGTATAAATCATTCTCTGGTATGTCGCGAACTAGAACCTGTCATGAATTTTTATCACTTCAAATTGGCGCACGTAGTAAATACCTTAAACACCTGGGTGGGTTGAAATTCTGCACAGCACCCTAACCTTTGCCCTAATATCCCCTAACCGGACTTGAAATGCTGAGTAACATTTGGAAAAGCAAAAACATGCAGACCAAAACACTAGATCGGCATATGAAGCTACTGACTGTTGGTCGAAATGAGTAAGCTTCTTGATCAGTATTCGTCCAATGGGCACGATCTGTTGTTAGGTCCGGGTTCAAAACTGATTATAGTGATGCAGTTGTATATACTGCATATCTTACAAATCTGATATACCATCCCATGAATTTTCTCGTGAGTTATTTTTTATTGTTTTTGAGATGAACTTCTTACTTCTAGTTTTCTATTGCCATTCACGTATGATCATAATCTTGGTAGTTTCCTCTCTGTGATAGAATGTGGCATCTTGGAGTGATACAAATTTGCGACAAGTCCTACGTCGTTGTTGACTGACCATGTGTGACTAAACTGTATCATAGTTTCGGAAAGACTTAATTTTATTTGGGCATGAATATCTAGTGATAAGCCACAAGATATACACTAGTCAAGCGTGATCTATTATGACAATTTATTTATCGAATAGCTCCGTGTTCACGGGTGTGATTCCAAAGTGTTTTATTATGTAATAGTAATTATGTAGCATCTTAGCTTACAATCATCTTACAGATTTTATACCATGATTCCCTAGGTAATGCAGTGTACAAGGTTGATCCCAAGTTTTTTAATTTCTAACAAATCACAATCAATAAGAACTATCAATGTAGCAATGGGACCTTTAAGGTCTCGTCAGAAAATTGCCTTTAAGACAAGATACCACTGGATGTTAGACTTAAAAAAAAGCAAAGCTCGTGCAAAATACCCTTGGATTCCCAGGTACGATATCTTAACTTCTTAATTTTAGTTTTCAGGGAACCAACAACATCCATGGAAATATATGGTCAAAAAATTATTTTTCCTGAAATGTACTTAGATTTTATTGTACCGAACAACTTGGACAAATGTGAACTAAAACCTTACGTTTCATGGCAATCGAAGCTAATTGAGGAAGGACCACTAACAGCTGAAGTTTTATTTAATAACAGATATTCACAAAAAATAACTGAAATGTTTAAAAATGGTGCAAGTAATGAAGAAATTATGGAGTACTTGAAGAACACGAATTGTTAATAATAAATAAATGAAAAATTATCTTGTTGATTTGAACTGTATCACATTTTGTAGCTTCGCTGACTTATAATCTGTTCTGAGTTGAATGAAGTTCATCAACAAATCTCTTGGCATTCCTGACTGCAAATAATCTTGAACAACTTGTTGTACGTTTTCTGGCTTAATCAACATGAGATTCATCAGCTTAAACAGTACATCGAAAACAACATTAACAGTTGGACTCTCAAAATGCTTTGCGGTTTCTCGGTAGGCGGTTACATCTTGCATTGCAACAAATCCACCTGAAAAATGACAATTTAGTTCACAACTTGTATAAAATAACAACAGCTATTTTAGAGAATAACTGAAAAGTAAACTACCATAAATGAATAAGTAGGCGAGTAATATGCCTTTATGCAGAGGTAAATTTCAAAATTGTAATTCACTGTTATGTTAGGACACTCCAAAACTTAACAAATTAGCGTACTTTACGTCAGATGTTCGAATGCTAAATATAAAGTGCTGAACAATGTATCTCTGATTAAGCTGCTTAGCTACACTTGGTGGTAGCTGTAATTCATAGTAAATGCTGTACTGATGTTTGACTACATGTAAGGTTCTGTAAACTGTTGGATTTACGAAAAGTGTAGACCTGAATTAATTTGTTGCACAACCTAACCTTGAAAGCTTTGAAAACTATCATGAAAGACTAAGCATATAGTGCTTGTATATAACAAAGATACGTGCGGTTTTCGCCGTTTCTGGAAAATAAACTTTGAACAACAAACTTTCTCGTCATCAATTAAATAGACATCGTCTCATAGATTTCTTAAATTCCTTGACATATATATGTATCTGACAGCAGATTGAAGTCACTAACTTCTTGTCTTAGCCATGTTGGCAGATGAAGATTACTTGATTCGGGTCCGCGCGACTATCGTAACCAATGTTTGGAGACTGGGTGACATGGCTCAGAATCCATCACAACTTTGTAAGTATATACAGATTAAAACTGCTTTATACCTTTCTTTCTACGAACTAATTCTTTCTCCCTGTATCATATCCTTATGTGCAATCTTCCTTTTATATATTACTACCATTGAAGTAACTGCTGAGAATTTGCTGTTCATCTAGTGCTAATGAGATGTAGCAACTTGGACCGACCTATATATGTGTCTGGTCCTATGTTGTAGATGCCTGACTGACAGAAGAGGTCTCGACAGACAAAGTTTTGCAGCGTATGCTACTAAACATTTAAGAATTAAGCCAGATCATAATAATCTGAGCCATAGTTTATGGCTCCACACAGTCTGAAATTCGTAATTTACCAGCTACTCAAATTCTGGTCAGCTAATAAATGTATTGATAAATATTCCATAGAATTGATAGTCTGAAATAGAACTAAGGATACGCTGAAGGGATCGGAGTCAGAAAAGGCTGTCTACTCTCTCCCTTCCTCTTTATTCTGATGGTCGACTGAATTATGAAGACCTCGACATCTGAGAGAAAACACGGAATACAATGGACAGCTCAGAACCAGTTAGACGATTTGGTCTTTGCAGATGACCTAGCCCTCTTATCGCATACACATGAACAAATGCAGATAAAGACAGCAGTGTAGCAGCAGTCTCTGCATCGGTAGGCCTCAACATACACAAGGGGAAAACCAAGGTCCTCAAATTCAACACGGAGAACAGCAATCCAATCACTCTTGATGGCGAAACTCTGGAAGATGTAGGATCGTTCACATACCTCGGAAGCATCATCGATGAACAAGGAGGCTCAGATGCAGACGCAGAGGCGAGGTTTGGCAAGGCAAGGGCGGCCTTCCTTCAGTTAAAGAACATATGGAACTCAAAACAACTTTTAACTAGTATCAAAGTGAGGATCTCCAATACCAACGTCAAGGCAGTTCTATTGTATGGAGCTGAAACTTGGAGAACTACAACAAACACCATCAAGAAGGTACAAGTATTTATAAATAGCTGTCTACGAAGATACTCAATATCCATTGGCCGGATACCATCAGCAACAGCCTTCTGTGGGAGAGAACAAACCAACTTCCAGCTGAAGAGGGAATTAGGAGAAGACGATGGAAATGAATAGGACATATATTACGCAAATCATCAAACTGCATCACGAGGCAAGCCCTAACTTGGAATCCTGAAGGGAAACGGAACAGAGGAAGGCCAAAGAACACATCACGTCAGGAAATAGAAGCAGATATGGATAGGATGAATAACAATTGGAAAGAGCTGGAAAGGATTCCCCACGATAGGGTTGGATGGAGAATGCTGGTAAGTGGCCTATGCTCCTTCACGAGGAGTAACAGGCGTAAGTAAGTAAGTATATATATAGTTTCTTAGAGTAGCCTGTTTTGATAATACTAAAACTAATAAATTGAATAATTACTACTTTTGAATAGTCGCAGATGTAGTAATTAGGTTAATCAATATAGATTGAAAGGAATAGAAATCCCATCTCTTAAAGAAACATTGCCTTGCTTCCATTCAAACAACAAGGAACTGGACATGAGTATATATCGAATTAAAGTATATATATATATATATATATATATATATATATATATATATATATATATATATATATATATATAGCGTAATAAAAATTGAACAAAACTGAATAAACTACAGCATAACTTCGTAGCTTAGTATTTTCTAAAGTTAAGAGGAATAAATCGTACATATGAAACTAAGCGTTAACACTCAATTTCGATCCGAGTACGTTCGATCAACATTTTCCTATAAAAAGTTTATTGAAATCGTGAACCATGTACTCCAATTAAAAAAAACCCTCCATTTCATCAAGTTCCGAACTTAATTTGTTCTGAAAAATTCATTTTTCTTATGCACCCGAGTAAAATGCACAGCAGACTCCTTATTCTTTAGAAAGTTAACATTCTGTTATGTTGCATTTTGATTTACGTAGGACCTTTGCTCAGATGATGAGAAAGTTTATGACAAGGATGAGCTGGTTTCTTTCTACAACCAGTAGGTCGTTACTATAAATATTTACATGTCCTTTTCATCATTTCACATGAAATCAATAGCTCTGAAATACGAGACTATTTCATTAAATTTTTCAGATTAATTTAGAAGAGAAAAAGGATTCTATAGCATGAATGAATATTTACCTGTGTCAGAAAAGGTAAAGTTATAAAAATGATCTACCAATGTGCGATTTAGTTTCATTCCAAATTCATGTAAAAATGTTTTTAAATTTTGACCATCTAGGTGTTGATGAGTCTCGCGGTTGATGTGGGTTACGAAAGCAACCACATGTTGACATGCCTAGCATATTGTTAAGAAAAATAACATTTAGCAACAAATCGTAGTATTTCGGAGTGATACAAGCTATGGGATAAAAAGGTTCCGTAAAAAAACAAGCCAATGAGGAGAGAACACTACGTTCGGTTCTTTAACTAGATATAGAGAGATTTATAGCACAACCGAATTCTAGTAAAATAGGGGACTTGAGAAGTGCACTACGCAAACGAAGTAATAACATTATGGCGAAATAGGAAAAAATCGTACAATCAGCTGATAGGTGAACAAGTGTAACATTTAATAAAAATACTCACATAATTAAAGTAACCGATTGAGTTACTGAGTAAAAATAAAATTCTTTTCAATGAAGTCGTCTATTTAAGCTGTACATTTATATTTATAGTTGTTTGATAAATATAGGAGTCTATAGAGGGATAGAAGAGATCGAATTTTAAAGTGATCCGCGATTTCAAATATTACATAGGGTTGAGTAATGATCAATAGATTGAAGAAGAATAGGAGGACGAAAATAATGTACGGATCAGAAACATAAGAGGTAATTGTCCACTTAGTAGATAATAATCATGGAAAATTGTTAGAGGATAGTAATAACTGATTAAGGTTTAAAAATTACAAATGAAAACAAAACTAAAACACACTGGAAAAAGAAATCAGAGCCAAGAAAGGATGAGAGGTTGGGCGCATCGTTTTTGCAAACAGAGTTTGAACTTAAATTTGGGGATTCCCAGCGCCTCAACACTACATAAGTTTTTGATTCGACTCATCTCAATTGTATGGATTATTTTAAAGGACGACTCCTCCAGAGCGACAATAACTAGGGTCGATCAGGCGCTCCTTTATCGAGCAAGTGGTAGCTTTTCATTCCCCTTTTAAAAACTACGACAAGTAATGTTCTGAGACGTGTTTGCTTTGTGCGCCCAGTGTAACCTGCCTCACAAAAGCCAGTAAATTTATGGATGCACATCGGTATGGCCCCAAGCCGGAGTTTATCCTTAACACGTCCGGGAATGATAGGGCGACTTGTGAAGGCAATACAAAGCTTGGCTGAATAGGTTTTATTCAGGGATTTCTGAAATCCGTTTATCCAAGATTTCAGAAACTGTAAATCACCTAAATTCGATATTAATAAAAAAATTTTGTTAGAACTATCGGTGGCTTGGTGTTAAGTTTCTAGCAATCAATCTATATGGATAGCTATTTCTGATGAGTATCTGTCGAAGTTGGAGTAGTTCGTCATCTATCTTGCTATGATAGTATATTCGTCTAGCCCTCGAGGATAAGTGAATTAAGTTTCTCCTTCTACTTAATGGAACCCAACCAAAGAAACTAATATATTAACTACTTAAAGTCGGTTTTCTACATGTACATTTTCGTAAGGAACTATCTGGCCTTTTTTCAACAAGACAACAGAAAAACTGAGGTTCCGCGTTAATCTCTGCTTTTAGTGTCAATTTAATTGAGTGGTGACAAATACTAAATTGATCCAAGATTTCATTGAAGTCCGTATCTTCTCCACAAATTCTTTTCCACGTCATATCGTACAATGTCCCAATCCACTGAGTTACACCATCTCTAGGACCTCGAAAAGAGAGTCGTGATGGGACGAACAGATACCAGCCCCACACGCCTTTCTTCAATAATGTGGCACCATGTCATAAACTAACCACCTTTCTCCTTTTTCAAAGCGTCCTAGGGTCAACGAGCAACATGTGGTGGGGGGGGGTCGCAGGGATAATGTTCGTAAAATATATCCAATCCTCCGAAGTGAGTTCCTTAACATGTTGGCATCAAAATAATGACCGTCACTGCACCCGAACATGCGTTACCTGACCTCGGGACTGCTAAAAATTGGTCTTGTTATCGGATGTGAGAAACACCTTCAAGACAATAATAATCAGATATCCCCATCTAAGAGGAGCTAGCTTTGATAAACATCGGT